AAATAAGCTGGTTAATTTAACATTACTCTATGTGCTGGGATTGATTTTTAGCGTAGCTTTGTCTGCATCAATTTTTTTTTGCCATCTTTTATGTTTTCTTGAGACTACTGTTTAATATAGGAATACAGGAGGTATATAGGTTTTTTTTGTTTCTTTCTGGACAGGATGGAAGGAAATGCAGAGCAGTAGCTTATTATATTGGGGAACTTTTGTTAGTTTGTGAATGTGAAAAATTTTTCGTCCGCCAAGTGGTGAACTTTGGTTTTCTGTTTGCCTTTTCAAAGTTCGGCGATTGTTCCACTTTTTTGATGTGTGGATTTATAGTCGCTTCAAGTGAATTATCTTCTAAGTATCGAAAGAATTTCAGACGTCTGTTAGCTGCTTCATTTGGTATGAGCAAACATCGGGGCTCATTTTATGACCGTGTTGCTGCACATAAGGGAGGGTTATTATGTAGGACTTACTAAATGAAGTATTAGTAGATGTCTAGATGTCATAATCATTTGGGAAATGTTAATTTTTTTCTTTTCAGATACAAGCTGGTGAATCTTCAGTTTTGGAGTTCCGCGTTTTTGGTAAATCGAAATTATTTGAGGATTCATTGATTGGGCAGAAGTTTTTGAAAATCTCGCATGCCATCAAAAAAGATTCCGATAATGGAAAATGTGAGAGAATCAGAAACACTTCATTCAGATCAGATTTACAATTAAAACTAGCTTTTGCTAATTATGAATAGAATGACATCAGCTCATCTAATTTTTTTTTTTTGAAAAAAACTTGTTAGATTATTAATTTATCATAAATTTTTTTGTTACTGTTATTACTCCCATTAATATTAATGCTTTTATAGTGCTGTTATTACTTTATCTTACAATCAGAAATTTATTTAATATGCTTTTAGTCTTGAGTAAGATGTGGCATGTTTGGAAAGTTTTAGGTATTAGCGAGCAGAGATATTTATGATTTGGTAATTTCTCACATCAAGTTCAAAATTTGCGATATTTTGTTGCAGTATTTCCATATATTCTGGTTTGGGAAATTCGTTATCTTGTGCGTTATATGTGCTTATGGTGGTTTTATTTTTAGTCGAGAACACGAAATTCAGTTTGTCGTTGAATTCGTCAAAGGATAACAGCAAAACGGGAGAGCTGAAGATTTTGTTGAAAGGCACCATCGAGAGGTCGAAGAAAAAAAGCACAAGTTAGTTTACAGTTTATCTTCTTGTCTTATAGGTTTGTTTATGAGAATTGTTTCTTATTTAGCGCTGATTCTCTAGTCTATATTCCGCCATGTTTGTTTTTATAAAGAACAGGTCATCTGTCATGTGTCACGTCCGCTTTTCGGCTGCAATTAGTGTTGTAAAAAATTGTGCAGTGTATCCTTTGTACTGTATTTCCACAGTTTCCTTGTCGCTGAACCCTAGCTTCGTGTGAAGTTTTCTATTCTTTAATGGTTCCTTTAAATGAGCAGTGTTCTTAACGGACAGGTTCATTTTAAAATCTGCTACAAAGAAATTTTGCATAGTTAGAACATTGTTGGTGGTTTTTGAGCAGTTTTATTGTTGCGAAGATTTCTTTACCTTAATTTGCAAGTGCTGCGTTGATCAGTTCATGAATTCTGCCTTCCTTTCACCAAGATCTTTACTTGGCAGCAACTTTCTTTTTTTACCTTCTTTGTTTTGGATCTAGTTTTTACCTTTATTTGTTCTCGGTTCTCGTTTTCAAGCAACAGTTCTTGTATTTCTGGAATACACTCTGGGAAAAAAACACATTTGTGTATTGCAGGTAATTTAATACACAAAGCTCTTGAGCTGTGGCCACAAGAAGCATTTTCAAACTGATAGGAAAATGAGCGCTGTTTTTTTTTTTTTTTTTTGGTTTAGAGAGTGTGTTACGTCATCAGACTCGTCTTCATCAAATTCTCATCTGCCGCTGTGAAGAAGAAGTGATTTTACAACGAGAAACTCTAGTCATGAGTGGGTGGTTCAAAAGTTATTAGGTCTTCAGAATAAGTGTTTTACTTTTTGTTAAAAAATTTTAAATCTGCTCGGGAAGCGCAGCAAAGGTTGTCGTTACTGCTGATGGTTGAATCGCTGATCAGTTGTACCACGGTATTTCCACAAGTAAAAGTGGAAAAGTGAAAGCGACGATTTTTACTTTATTGGGTAGCTTTTTTTTCTTGTGCGATTGGAGTCTTGGGATGATTTGCGTCAGTTTTAGGTGATTTGGGTTATTTCGTTCAATTCTGCATCTGTGATTTCGTAAAGTTTTACTTCCGCATTTTAGCCGTAATTTTTTATAGCAACTTGTTCCTTACGGACCGATGAAAAATTTTTTTGACGCCAGTCTTCTTAGTCTTAGGGTGGAATGAAATTAAGGTTGTGGTCATTTTTAAATATTTGTGGTTTGGGGAATCATTCTTTTGGACCTTTATAGTTTTGTCTTTGACGTGTTGTTTCTTAAATGCCATTTTCTTGTCCAAGAGGAAGTTTTAGCTGGTGTTATTTTGGTATCAAACCCTGCTTTTTATAGTGCATTCCATAGCTTCTTTGACTTTTTGATCAATTGAAGGAGGGAAGTCAACTGGATACAGCGAGGATTGTTTGTAGGTCATTGCTTGTACTTCTTTAGAGCTTCTTAAAAGACTGATTTTTTGAAGATTTTTTTCACATAGTTTTTCTATCACTTCCTGATGATAGGTTAAAAGGATAATTTTTTTGAAAAAAGTTTGGTATTAAGTTTTATAATTGGCAGTTCCGTATGCTAATTGATACCTGTTGTCGACCTTAATGTTTTTATAAGAGATGGCAAGTCCTGTGTTCAAGGCGGTGTTATTCTGCAATTATTTTTTACGTTATCTCTTTTTTAAATTCGCTACTCATGCTTTCTCGCTGGAGCCAAACTTCTAGCGTTGTTCGTGTCTGTCACCTTCTATTTTTCCAAATGGTAAAATGGTCATAGTGTGTAGTCCTCCAGAAGTCGTATTTTAGTTTTTTGATGTAGTATCTTTCGAGCGTTTTTGGGGCAGATTGTTCTGTACATTTGACTTTATATATCATTCTTGAATTTATTTTTTTCTCAGTCGTTTCTCAATTATTAGCGATGGAATACGGCGGTTATTACATGAAGAAAACGACATCAGCATTTTATTGCTCATTAGTATTTGTTCTGAATAAACTGATACTGTGAATTATGCGACTTATTAGTTTTATTATTAAGATCAGTTTTATAGTATCAGGATTCTTATTATGTATGCAGGCTCCTAATCTTTCATTTTTGAGGCAGTCGAGGTACAGAGGGGCACGTTGGCGAGGCTTCGACTTCTTCCACTTTTTCTGCCATGTCCAACGGTACTGCGATAGGAGGTGCATCTGCTTCTTCAGGAGTTACCGGTAGTGGATCGAGTCGCAAGAGCACTGGAGGTACTTACTTTTAATTTTGTTCTTTTTGAAGCAATAGATTCCCCATTTATAGCTGCAGATCAAACATTAGTTATTCTGATGTTCCATTCATTTCCTTTGCCTGAAAGAAGTCATTTTTGCAGTACTGTAGGTAGGCCTTGCTAAGAATTTTTTTTGGAGATACGTGAGTGTTTTTTTTTTT